TGACCGAGATGTGCGGTTCAGTTCCAGATTCTGGAAGAAATTTCATGACGAGTTGTGTAATCGTTTGCACTTCCTCATGGCTTTTCACCCGTAAATGGATGATCAGAGCAAGTGGACCATCAAAACCTTGGAGGATATGCTGTGGACATGCATTCTAGACTTTGGTGGTAGTTAGGATACCTGCCTTCCCTTGGCAGAGTTTTCCTATAATAATAACTACCACACCAGTATCGAACAGCCTCCCTTCGAGATGCTTTACGGGAGGAAATACATGACCCTAATATGTTGGGGTGAGGTTGGGATGAGAGTCATGCAGAGTACCGAGGTGGTTTTCAAGATGACAGAGAAGATCTAGCAAGTCCGAAGTAGACTCCAAACGGGCCAGAGTCATTAGAAGAGTTATGCCGCTAGACGCTGATTCGACTTGGAGTTCCAGGTTGGGGATATGGTCCTTCTGAAGGTTTCACCTTGGAAAGATGTCATCTGCTTCAAAAAAATGGGGCAAGTTGGGCCCCAGGTATATTAGACCTTTCAGGTTTATAGCCCAGGTGAGCAAGGTGGGGTATAGGTTGGATCTTCTGGAAGAACTTAGACATATCCACAACACTTTTCATGTCTCCTAACTGCGGAAGTGCTTAGTGTATGACTCTTCAGTTGTGCCTTTAGAGGATATCCAGATGGATGACAGACTGAAGTACATCAAGAGACCAGTAGCCATTCTCGATAGGAAGATTAGGGATCTGAGGAACAAGAGGGTAGAGTTAGTGAAGGTGCAGTGGCAGCACCGCAAGGGCTCGGAATGGAGATGGGAGCCGGAGGATAAGATGAGGGAGCACTACCCAGAGCTATTTTCAACCACAGCAAACTTCGAGGATGAAGTCTGCGATAAGCGGGGGAGATTTGTAACGCCTAGTTCTTGGTATGTATTTAATTCATAATTATTCATTATTGTATATAAACTCGACGAGTTGGAGGCCCCAAAATCATCGAATAGAGATGGATTGGGATGCGGGTTAAGAAGTCTAATCGAAGAGTTGAGAAGCCTCAACTTGACGAGTAGGATGGCAGAATGAAACCTTATTTTTTCGGGTTTTGCACCCTATTTAAACACCTTAACCACCATAAGTTCGCCTCATTTCTAGCCTCCGTTGTCCCAAACCATAGCCTCGAAACCCTAGTTCACTTTTGAGATTTTGGGCAAACTTTTGTGCATTCTTGGTGATTTTGAAGAAGAAGGTACTTGACGAAGGAGCAAGGATGTGTAGGAGGAGAGTAGATCCAGAAGTTGGGCTTCATGTCTGGTTCATCTGAGGTATAAAGTTCCTACCTTGTCTATAATATGCTTAGATCTAGTTTTAGGATGCTTTCTTCATGTTTTGGTCTAAGTATGTTGGTTTTTGGGATTTGGACGTCCTATGTGGGCAAACCCTTCAGATCTAGGGTCTTGAGGGGACTTCATGGCATAAAGGTGCCAACTTTATGGCCATGGAAGTCCCATGTAACTTTGAGACCATCTTTTTGGTCTTTTTTGCCAAGTAGGCCATGCATGCAAGTAAAGATAGGAACTTTACGTGACCAAATCGTCCCTAGCGTCCAGATCTATTACCTCATGGTCTATCTTGAAGTTTTGATGGCTTTTGGAGTTGGATCTAAGCCATTTTGATTTAGGGCTAGAGCTCATTTCTTCTAGGATGGATTTTAATGGGTAATGTTGTAAACTTTACCCTCTTATGTGTTTCCGACCCAGATCTCGAATATGGGACTTAGATTCGAAGAATGATGGCTTAATACATTAAGAAGGCTTAACAGACTGAAGAACTTGACGAGTTCATAAAGGAACTCGATGAGTTGGGTCAAAGTGTCTCGATTCTGTTAAAAGGAAGAACTCAACGAGTTCAAGGATGGACTTGACGGGTTGATTTGAGAAGTCCCGATTATGTTGATAGAGAGGAACTCGATGATTTAATGAAAGAACTCGACGATTTGGTTCACAATTTCAAGGTTTTATGATTTATGGAACTCGGCGATTTGAAGGGCCAACTCAGCGAGTTGAGTCAACTCGGAATGTTGATTTTGACCAGAATTTTGACTTTGACTTTGACCAAAGTTGACCCTTAAGTGGTTATGAGTATGAAAGGGGAATTAAGGAAATATTTTATGTGTAGGGACTGAGCCGGTTTGATTTCAGAGTCGGATATTTTTAGCATTCGAGTTGAGTTACCTTCCTGTAAAAGTGGGTCTAAGGCACCAATATCGGCCCACTAGTAGCTGATTATAGTATAGACGATTGTCTTTATGATAGTTGTCTGGTATGCCACTATCTGTTATGCTTTATGTGCTAGTATGCTTTGATATTATGTGATAGTGGTAGGAGGGGTGGATTAGACCCCGTAATCGGTTAAGATAAACCAGAGGGTAGGTTCGGCACCCAGATATGCATGACAATATGATTATGATATGTTATTATGTGGTAGTGGTGGGGGTGAAATAGACCCCATAACCAGTTGAGATAAACAGGAGGGTAGGTCGGGCACCCAGATATACCTAGCAGGGTAGGTTGGGCACCCAGATATGTCTGACAGTGGTAGGTTAGGTACCCCGTTATGCCTGACGCATGTAGGTTGAGCACCCAGGTATGCTCAGCAGGGTAGGTCGGTCACCCAAAAATGCCTGACGGTATGTTTATTGTATGGTATGTGGTATGATGGGGGAACTCACTAAGCTTTATACTTACACTTTTCAGTTTTGGTTTCAGGTACTTTTCTTCGAAAGGAAAGGAGCCGGCATGATCACAACGTATCACACTACATTTTCCACACCTGAGATCTTTGAGAGTTATACTTTAATATTGTTTTATTATGACATGTTTTGAGTATTGATATATTGGTTTTGATAAGGGTTGACGCTATAGATGTTTTCAGACAAATAGTTTTATAATTATTAAATTAAAAATGAAATTTTTGGTCTTAAATTTTTGGATGTTAAAGAGTACTTATCCCGAAGGTGCACACGACTTTATGAACAATATTAATAGATATAAGTTTGTGAAAATATAGATGATCGTGTAAAATAGAGGTGTGAAAAAAACAAAGCGAAAAAAATGAAATTTGGTGCCCGAAAAATCAAAAATAAGAAGTAGCTAATCCGAAGCTTATTAGCTACAGATTAGCTACAGAGTTTTTTATTTTCGATTTTTCGGGCACCAAACGTCATTTTTTTTCACACTTCTATTGTACATGATTATTTATATTTTCACCAACTTATAGCTATTAATATTTTTCATAAAGTCGTGTGCACCTTCAGGATCTCTTACTCGTTTAATGGTTTAATATTCTAATACTTATTATTTTGATATGCATACATGTAGACACATATACACATAGATAAACATAAACATACACATACACATTAAAATACATACACGTACATATGTACTTACATACACATTCAAATACACAAACATGCATACACATACACATACACACACACATTCAAATACACACATATACATACATATACATACATACATACACACATACACATACATTTACATACGCACCCACATACACATACATACACATACATACATACATACATACATACATACATACACATACAAATATACATATTTCCCTTTATTATAATCATTTTTCATTATTTATAAATTAAACATAGATTATTTCATCTTATTGATGTGTTAAACATAGTTTTTTTTGTTTAATCGCTTATTTGTGTGTTAAACACTTTTGTTACAATTATTATATATTATTATGATTGTTATAAATATTATTATTAATAGTATTATTAGTATGATTTTTAATTTTTCATGTCTTAAATATGTAAGAAAAATGGTACAAAAAAATAATTTAAGAGTCAAATAATGAAAAATAATAATAATAATAATAATAATAATAATAATAATAATGGAAATAATTCGCTATTTAATAGCTATTTTCTTCTGTCGCTAGTCTGTAACTATTCCGTAGCCAATTAGCTACAAATTAGCATATGTAGTTCTTCCATAGCTATTATGTTACTATATTAGGGTATCTCATTATGTAGCTGATCTGTAGCGATTTCATTGATAATTAGCTACGTAAATTTACCGTAGCTATTTTCTGTTGGAAAACCCTTTATTTTCTAGTAGTGTACTACAAGATGTAGTTTAAGGGAATTGAACTCCCAACCTCACGACCCATATGAGTAAAAACCAGGTGCATCAACCCAGCTAGACTGGATATCACATGCCAATATCCATTAGTTACATCACATTTTTTACTTTTTAATTTTGACGTTTCGATTTTCACTGCCCCTTGATATACTTATCATCGAGAACAATAGTAGTATAGTATGATTTGATTATATACAAGAAGCAAAAAATCAAACTTCAAAGTTAAGATCATCTAACGTTAAATATTTATTTGAAAATTAAACTAATTTAATTAGGAGTGATTTTTTTTTAATATTTCGCTAATATTTTCGTTTTAAATGGGTAACGCGGATTCAATCTATTTGTTTAATAGTTTGGGTTGGAAAAAAATATAAATAGATCAGCTCATAGCAACCATTAATCTAATAGGTTGGGATGGGTTTGAAATTTTGACCAATTTAACTAAATATGTTTGGGTTTCATTGAAATTTTTATCCTTGAGTAAAATGTGGATGATCTTGAATTGTGTTGATTTTTGCTCAAGATCTACCATAAAGCATATTGCATAGGCTAGAGTTTGATCTCTTTAAATGTCATCTCTCAAGTTCACCTTTAATTCATCCAAAAATTTGTGCTTTAAAGTTTTGTATTGTATAACTCTATAATGCATAAATTATTGTCTATATCAAAAAATTGTTGTGTACAAATCACTTTCTCATCCAAAAATAATTATCTAGAAGCTTGATACATAATAACCATATACCAAAATCAAAATTGGAAATAACATGTTTCTATACAAATAAATAACCTTTATTTAGGATACCATACAATATTTACATATAAGCATTTTTCACATTGTAAATGACGGGACAATGCAGTGTCTACCTTCTGTCGCCAGAGTCGTGGAGAAGATTTGCTCCACCTTAACACCGACATTAGTTCTTTTAGCAAAACGACCTTTGATCCTAGGTCTTATTTCAGCATATGCTTTCCTGGACTCGTACCTTATTGTTTTCTCAAATTTTCTTCTTTTTTTCTTCTCCATGTACCTGAGGACTCTCGCCTTTCTGTCTATGGGTGCCGGAATTTGGACAGAAGTGTAGCCATAGCCACCGTTTGAAGCCTCATATTCCATTGCTAATTCCAGCTTCGGGTGCTGGAAACTGTAGAGGTGCTTCTTTGTCTCTCCAGACTGAACCGGCACTATACTATCACCATCACCACCTCCATAGTCATATTGCCGGAAATTATGACCATCACTGAATAGAGAGTCTTGACAAGAATTATACGCAACAAGTTCCAAGTAATCGTCTCCATTAAAGAAACACCCGTTCATTTCACCGTTTTGGTTTTCGTTTCCGAACTGCAGCCACGATGCTGCTTCGTTTTCTTCATCTTCATTATCTATGGCGTCCTTTGATTCTTGTGACAAAAACCCACCATGATCAGCTCCTACGCCAGTTATAGACCTTGCGTCAGAAGTTTGATGCTCATCGATCAACCCTGAAATGGGTATAACCGGGACACGGTGGTGGCGTCCGGAAAGAGGATTTGCGGAATGAATAACTGCATCACATGTTGCACAGAGGTACGCCAAATCCGCCCTGCAGAAAATTGTGGTAGGGCTGAAGCGACATATGTCGCATAAAGTACTCGTGTCGTTCTTTAGCATATTTGTTGATTTTTCTCTTGTGTTTGCTATGTTTTCAGTTTCATGTTTGAGTTCCCTTTTGTTAGAACAGTAGCGCACCACGGGGTGGGGTGAAGAATTCATGAGCTGACACGTGGAGATGAAGTTGTGGATGGCAGATTAAGTGTTGTGGTTGTGGGGTTCTAGGCCCTGGGTCAAGCTATCTGCTGACTCAAATTGTTATACCATAATTGTAAGTGAGTTTGCAGCCATGTATCACATATTAGATGGCCTGGTGTGGCACGTGATGAGTACATGGGATTTGGAAAGCTTGATAGTGTCATCCTTTGCAATAGTAGTTTTCGGTCCCCGGTTTTCAACCACTCATTTGATGTATTGATTGGTTAGCCGTCTACTACCACAAGGAAAATAAATAAATAAAAAGTAGTATATTTAATACGGCAAATAACTTTAAATCACTTTTAAGTTTTGGCCCAAAACCGTTTTAAGCACTCTATTTTTTTTCTCTAAACAAGCCCATGCTTTCAAAAAAAAACTGTAGCTAGACCATTGTCATTGATTTATTCAGTTACGATTCGTTAAGATACTATTGAAAGATAATATTTGTAATTGGTGAAGATACTATTGAAAGATAATATTGGTAACACACATGTCTAAAGTTACGACTTATTGTCTAAAGTTTCTATATTTTCTATATTTTTACGATATGGAAAAATCGAATTCAACGGTTATTATCACCTATTTTGTTGTTATAGTATAATTGTATTTGTTATGATTCTTATTGTCAGTTTTCGATTTTTACAATTAGGACGTTTGTCTTGTTACTGAAGTTCATTCTTCTGAAAAATCATTTATCGGATCGTCAATAACACCAATAGAATATTGACTTCCACAATTATGTGAGGAGTCTTCGGAACATGATACCTTTAGTTGACTTCAAATTAGTTTAAAGTGTTTTCTGAAATTATTTTGTAGTTTGCATTTTTTTTTTTCCTGTTTTCAATTTTCATATCATACTCTTATGATGCTTTTATATGTTATTTGAAAGTATAAACCGGATTAAACATTTTATAAGAGTTTTTAGACACATTTATGGTTCGAGAATATTAAATTTATGAAATCACATAGTACATTCATATTTTTTGTCCTTATAGAAAAAGACATTATTGTTCTGATACCATAAACCAAAGGGTCTTATTAAGTTTGTGTGTGTGTGTGGTTTTATCCGAACCAATTAATTGACAATATTGACTTTACAATATTGACTTTCAACTTTACATTGAATAATATTTGAGTTTTTTAGTTTTAAATTGATTGTCTTCTTTATTTTATGTTATGTAGGCAACACAACTATAGATATTATTTTAGGACATTAAAGATAATTGGGTAGATTTGTCATGTACATTGCTAATATAGGATGAAATGAAAGAAATATGTTATAAAACAAAGTAAAATCAATGTATTGTTTATACATGTGTCAATCTGTCCACCGAACAGGTTTGACACTAATTATTATATGTTTGTACCGGTTAATAGGGTGTTCATCGGCAATAACTTTCGGGTTTCAAATGGTTCAGGTTAGGTAGTTCGGATTTTTTCAAAAAATTATTAACCAATAACCAAATTGTATTCAAATTGGGTATTCGGGTTTGGATAATTCGGGTATTAGGTGAGGTACGGTTTAGTCGGGTATTACCCGAAAAAATTCCTAACGATTTTTAGTAAAAAGTATTCAGCATATTATCTATAATGAAGGGATCAATTATGTAACTATACTTTAATTGATTAACAAAAAAATCAATAGTAATGCATTGAACAATTTAAAAACATGTTCCACCAGGTCTAATAATACAAATTTTTTAGCACCAAATTGGTTGTAAAATGAATTACAAATACTTCAACTTTCTCTACTCTATCCTCGTTTGCGCAGACAATTTATCTTGCTTATGTGGAAATAGAAGTCCTCCTTCATGTTATTACGGTAGAAATAAAGAGCTATTGGGAAGAAGATATTCCATTCCTCTAAGGATCCGTGCACTACAAAAAAACGTCAACTAGTGACCAAAACGACATGGTCACTAACAGTAGAACGAATCGTCACAAAATGATTTAGTGACGAAAATTTCAGTCGTCACTTTCGTCACTATAGGTCCGTCACAAAATCGATTTTCTAACTAAAATTGAATATGGTCACTAAATAGTGACCAAAATATACTCGTCACTAAATCTGTGACGACCCGTTTCGTCACTGAATATTGTCACTAATTAAAGAAAGTCGTCACTGTTTTATTCAATTAGTGACCACTTTAATAACCACAATTACCATATTAATGACCATAGTGACCAAAAAGTAGTCACTAAATATTTACTGTTAGACACCAAAAAAAGTGGTCACTAATTTGGAAAATACAAGAAAAGACGATACTGACTATGTTGATATAATTGCTATAAATTAAAAAAAAAGTACTTAATTATTTCAGTGATAATTTTTGAATAAAATTACAATAGCTGAATCCAATACAATTAATCAAACCTCATATTAGCTTCCAATAAATATGGTTTTATTATCTTGAAAATTACTCATATTTTCTTTACAAAACAGAACTAGAGTATTTCATGACTACTTTGCTAACATAAGGGAATGTTGAGCACATGGCAGCAACCACGTGCATATGGCATTTCCATTCAACTTA